CACACACACACAGGTAAGACATGACGAATGAGTGTGCATGTCTGAGAATGTGTGTGTGTGTGTGTGGGGGATAAATGTAGGTCAGGCAGCCAATTCTCCGCATGGCAACAATATAGAAAATCCCAACTCTGAATACTCAAAGCTGATTGGTTGAGAGCTCCAGCCGGGGAGCCAATAACCTTTTAACCCACGGACCTTCAGTTTGTGTGTTTGTGTGGAATCTGTCAACTGGGTGTCATCACACAGACAGAACTAACTCTTATAATAAAAAGAGTTAAAGTCCCAGAGTGCATTGGTGTAAGAGCCATCGAATGAAAGAGCTTCAGACTCTGTTGCCGGGCAGCAGCTTCTGATTATGATGTAATCATCACATCACTCCTGTCGATGGAGTTGTCTCCATAGCAACAGAAGCTGAGGCACATGGGTAAAGTAGTTTTTGGAAACATTTAGAAATATGATTTGGAAATACATGAATGTGTATATTTACATATACATAAATATATATTTAAGTGAACAGTTCTCTTCAATGTAAATGAGAATCTACTAAAACTCTTTAACAGTCTTATTTTAAGGGAGCTTCTTGGATCCACGTTTTTATGGATGGAAGGCAGCGCAGGTACTGATTCAGGCTCTGGTCGTCTCCCTCCTGGACTACTGTAACTCCCTCCTGCAGGTCTCCTGCTACCACCATTCCACCTCTGCAGCTCATCCAGAATGCAGCAGCTCCACTGGTCTTTAACCTTCCTAAGTTCTCCCTCACTCCTCCACTCCTCCGCTCTCTTCACTGGTACCGGTGGCTCATCCAGTTCTAAACATGGTGCTCACGTATCACGCTGTGAATGGATGGGGTCCAGCTTCCATCCAGGACCTGGTCCAACCCGACACCCCGACCTCTGACCTCTCTGCTCTGCATGTGATAAACTGCTTGTTCCTCCTCACTGAGAGCAAAACACTCGACTAGATCTCCACTCTTTGCTGTCCTGCTCCTAAATGGTGGAAGGAGGTCTCTGAAGACATCAGGACCACAGAGAGCCTTCACATCTTCAGACTAAAGACACACCTCTTCACACTCTACCTCCACTAACACACTAACTACCTGGAGCACTTACATTAAATGGATGAATCAGAACTGTGAAACTACAGATCTAACCGGAAGTGACCGTTTATAACTTCCTGTTTGTTTCCTGCTCTCTTTACAGGTGCGAAGCAGACAAGTAAATATCTTGTTATCGATGTATCGTGTCAAATTAAATGTACTATTATTATCACTGATGAACGCTGGCGTCGGTAACAGGAAGTCAGAGAATGGTGACTTCCGTTTTGTCAGTGTGCCGGTAGACAGGCGAACAGGTGAACAGGTAAACACCGAGCCGTCCCTTCAAAGTGGCACGTGGCCCATAATAACAACAGGTTGACCAACGTGGTCGCTGATGAAATACACGTGGCTCACGTGTCAGACGCTTTCCCGCAGAGATCTGGTTACAACCGAAGAGCCGAATTGAAGAGGAGCTCGTGACAGCTGGAGGACACCACACCTTTATGACGTCACCGTGGAGCCCTGCCGCCACGAGCCGGGTGGACTCAAAGTGACCCGCTTCTCCGCGGAGGCTCCTACCTGGCCGTCCTCCGCCGGGGATCGAACCCGCGGACCTGCCGCCGCCCTCCGGTCCGCTGATCGTCTCACCTCAGGTGTGATCGATCGATAGAATCACTGCTCCCATCCGGGATCAGACGAGCCGATCGGCGCGGCCGCCCCGATGATCGATCATCGCAGATCGATGGTGTGATCGGATGAAGGATCCTCGCTCTTCATCTTCCTTCTCCTCCTCTTCCTCCTCATCGATAAAGCAGCAGCCTGAATGAGGAGCCGCTCCATCAGCACCGCGAGGCGCGCTCACAACGACTCGGGAATGCGCACGTCCGCGCGCACGGACTCGCATGTGTTGACGGATCAAACAGATCGATAATCACTTATTTTAAATGGAATAATCATTAAATAAACGCTTTGTCTTCCTGTGTTGAATCCATAAACTGAATCCATGAAAGATCTGAGAAAGAATAAATGTACAGTGTATATATATATATATAAATAGTACATCATACTGTGTACTAGTGTGTTTGGGGGAGAGTATATGAAGTTCTATTAATATATATATATATAATTTAAATAATCTGAGATTCATTGAGTATAATAGAATATTGTATGTATATATTACACAACACATGTGTACAGGAAAGTCCCTTATCACATATTATCACATGCTTTACACCCATTCATATTATTACATGATTGATGACTAATATTCTCATTATTATAAGTCATTTCATTATTACTATCAATGTCATTATAGTTTCAATTATGAGGATTATTATTAGGGTCCACACCACTATGTACACGATGTACACTAAACACACCACTATGTACACTAAACACACCCCGATGTACACTAAACACACCACTATGTACACTAAACACACCCCGATGTACACTAAACACACCACTATGTACACGATGTACACTAAACACACCACTATGTACACTAAATACACCCCGATGTACACTAAACACACCGCTATGTACACTAAACACACCACTATGTACACTAAACACACCACTATGTACACTAAACACACCGCTATGTACACTAAACACACCACTATGTACACGATGTACACTAAACACACCCCGATGTACACTAAACACACCACTATGTACACGATGTACACTAAACACACCCCGATGTACACTAAACACACCACTATGTACACGATGTACACTAAACACACCCCGATGTACACTAAACACACCACTATGTACCCTGAACACCCCCCGATGTACCCTGAACACACCACGATGTACCCTGAACACACCACGATGTACCCTGAACACACCACGATGTACAGTGAACACACCACGATGTACCCTGAACACACCACGATGTACAGTGTTGTCCTACGATAAAGCAGCGATTAGACTGCAGGTTTGATATCAAACCTTCACGTTCTGTACATGAAGGCTGTGTGTTTATTGATTTGTATAAACTTCGTGAACGTTGTTCTTCACACGTTCTACCAAACAGTTCACAGAACAAACATTGATTATTCTTCACAGTCGGGATTCAGGATCAGACTCTGGAAGAGTTCAGTCGTGCTGAGCAGGAAGGTACTCGTCGCTCTCCTCCGGTCCCTGGTCAGAACGCCTCCCTCCATCTGAGGGAAGGACACCAGGTAACGTGACGATGATGAAGGGAGGACATGTGAGGAAATGGAGAAGAGCGTCTCAGTGATTTACGTACAGAGGTTATCAGACGACAGCAGCTGAGCCGCTTGAATCCTTTGCTCTTTGTGCAGGAAACGCTGCTGACTGGGAATCATGAGGACTGAAACACAGGAAGTGGATTAGTACGCAACACAAGTCCAACACAACCTTTATTATAGATCGGCTCCTTTAACAACCTGCTGAGGGACCCGAGGGCTCCGGGGACAACGACTGCAGGGGCCCCACAGGAGAGAAGCATTCTGGGACACCACAGAGCCCTTTAGTGTCTGGTCCTCGGGGGGGAGGGAAGTTGTACTGGTCTTCACTGGGGACCGAAGGCTCCTGGGACTCTGTGGGCCCAGTTGGACAGTGGTAATGGTCTCTGGTGGCTGGCGATGGAGAATTGGAGCTGGTCTCGTTAGACCTGAACTGGGAACGAATGTCATACTGGGAGAAGCCTTGACTCTCATCGGTTTCACATGGACCGGTGAGGGAGGAGGAGGAGTGAGGAGCCGTGAGGGAGCAGAAGGAGGACAACAGGGAGGACTGGGAGAGCTGGTATGTGTCCTCCAGTGGTCCCAGTTTAGACAGCTGGTTGGACAACGGTCCCACACTGGAGTCCAGGGGGTGGGGGGGTTTGGGTAAGGACAGGGAGGGGGGGTGAAGATCAGGGTGATGGAGGGGCGACGTCCCGGTCAGACACGTGATGACGTGGATATTCTGAAGTTTATCAAACACCTGCGAGCGGAGAACAGAGGGTCGGACTGGCGTTAGACTGGAGGCAGATTCTTGCTGGAGTAGTCAAACTGGTGTTGGACTGGGTTTAGACTGCACATAGACTGGTGTTACAGTACAGTTTGACTGGAGTCAGACTGGTTACAGAATCACCATCAGGTCTTGCTGACCTCTGTCATCGCTGGCCTCTTCTTCCTCTTCTTGTCCAGACACTTGCAAGCCAGGTCCACTAGCTCCATGCAGCCAGGCGGCTCCGCAGCGTCCCCTGAAGACACATCATGAGTACAGCAGTCCACAAGCATCATTATCAGCTGGTACAAACCCACTGACCTGGGATCAGCCGGTGGTCAAGCTGCTTTCTCCAGGCCTCTGCAGACGAACCAGTCAGATTCTCCTCAACCTCCTCCACCAAGTCCTTCTACAGGATCAGAACCAGAACCACATGACTAAAACAACCATCACAGTCTGTTTGTCCCTGTCTGTCTGTCTCTATGTTCTCACCAGGTATGTCTCTCCTGACTTCCTGCCCAACTCCAGAGCTCGACGTCCCGTCAGAACCTCCAACAGCACCTGAAACCCAGGAGACGCGTGATGGAGGATTGTGTCGCGTTACAATGTGACTCAGTGTTTCCCCACCGTTCAATAAAGGGAGTGACCCGTCCCCCCAGCAACGGTTTTTTTTTTTTCCGTCCCGATGGGCACAAACAGACACGACCAGCTGAGCATGCTCCCACCAGTGGACGGAGAGCTAAAGGTTTTGGGTCATTCTCCTGTCCAATCTCCCTGAAAATGTCCCTCCACTCGTCCTCCTGGGTGACTTCAACATCCAGACAGAGACGTCATCGGACCTCCTACACCTACTTTCTTCTTTCGCTCGGTCACTCAGTCCCTCTCCTCCTCCTCACAAAGCCGCCAATCACCTCGACTACATCTTCACTAGAAACTGCTCTACCACTAACCTCTCTGTGACTCCACTTCATGTGTCTGATCACTTCTTCATCTCTTACTCTCTGTAACTAACTGACTCTGTACCTGTTCTCCTCCTCTCTCCCCCTCCTCTCTCCCCCTCTCTCCTCCTCTCTCCCCCTCTCTCCTCCTCTCTCCCCCCCTCTCTTCTCCTCTGTTCTATCAGCTCTCCCTTCTACAGACTCCTTCTCACTCATCTGACGCTGCTGCAGAGACTCTCCTCTCAACTCTGTCCTCCTCTCTAGACTTTACCAAGAAAATAGCTGACATACGCTCCTCTTTCTCAAACCCACCTCCTCCTACTCGTGTCCCACTGGCTTCACCTCTATCGCCCTCACTCTCCTCCTTCACCCCCCGTCTCCTAACCAAATTCTTATCCTAGTAACCTCTGCCCGTCCAACCACCTGCCCTCTTGACCCCATTCCATCACATCTTCTACAATCTATCACTCCTGACCGTCTTCCTTTCCTCACCTGTCTCATCAACAACGCTCTGTTATCTGGATGTTTTCTCTGAAGGAGAAGAGTCAACCCTCTCCTGAAGAAACCCACCCTCAACCCGTCTGAAGAAAACAACTACAGACCTCCTCTCTTCTTCCCTGATTGTCCAAAACTCTTGAACGTGTGATCTTTAACCAGCTCTCCTCTTATCTCCACCATAACAACCACCTTGACCCCCACCAGTCAGGCTTCAAGGCCGTTCCACAGAGACTGCTCTCCTTGCTGTCTCAGAGCAGCTCCACACTGCTAGAGCTCCTCTCTCTCCTCTGTCCTCGTCCTTCTGGACCTCTCTGCTGCATTTGACACAGTCAACCAGCAGATCCTTGTCTCCTCCCTTCAGGAACTTGGTGTCTCAGGCTCTGCTCTCTCCCTTCTCTCGTCCTACCTCGACGGACGCACCTACCGGGTAACCTGGAGAGGATCTGTGTCGGAACCTTGTCCTCTTACTACTGGAGTTCCTCAGGGTTTCGTCCTGGGTCCCCTCCTCTTCTCGCTCTACACCAACTCTCTCTGCGCTGTCATTCGCTCGCTTCTCCTACCACAGCTATGCTGATGACACCAACTAATCCTCTCCTTCCCTCACTCGGATCTCTGCCTGTCTGACTGACGTCTCTCAGTGGATCTGCCCACCATCTGAAAATCAACCCCGACAAGACGGAACTACTTCTCTTTCCGGGAAAAGATTCTCCTGCTACCACCATTCCACCTCTGCAGCTCATCCAGAATGCAGCAGCTCCACTGGTCTTTAACCTTCCTAAGTCCTCCCTCACTCCTCCACTCCTCCGCTCTCTTCACTGGTACCGGTGGCTCATCCAGTTCTAAACATGGTGCTCACGTACCATGCTGTGAATGGATGGGGTCCAGCTTACATCCAGGACCTGGTCCAACCCGACATCCCGACCCGCACTCTCCGCTCTGCATGTGATAAACTGCTTGTTCCTCCTCACTGAGAGCAAAACACTCGACTAGATCTCCACTCTTTGCTGTCCTGCTCCTAAATGGTGGAAGGAGCTAAACAGATCCTGGTGCTTCTCCAGACTGCATTGCACTCTGTAGGACCATTGAGACTAGTTTATAAACTACTATCTTTACTTCAGTATCCTAGGACTCACTCTGTAATAATGAACAATTGTATAGATAGTACACCACACCTGAAACACAAGAGATTTTATGAGAGACGATGACATAACTGGCTGATGACATCGAAGACTTTATTGATCAGATGATATTTAATCTAACCCAAACCCAGGACTGGTGACCAGTGAAAGGAGTGTCGGTGAATTAAGGTTAAAGACCAGTCGAGCTGCTGCATTCTGGGTGAGCTGCGGAGGTCTGTTGGTACTGGCAGGTAGACCTGCTAGGTGGAGTTATAGTAGTCAAGGAGTAGGATGAGCATTGTCCTGATGTTGTGCATCATGTATCTACAGGAACATGATATTGTCGTAATGTTGGCAGTGGGGGTAAATTGACTGTCGAGTGTCGCACCGAGGTTCCTACCAGTTAGGGTGGGGTTGGTACGGAGTAAGTCAAAGGAAAAAGTCTGATTGTTGGTGGGAGAGTCTTTCCCTGGAAGGAAAAGAAGTTCAGTCTCGTCAAGGTTAATCTTCAGATGACCCGGTGTCTCAGATTGGGGGAAAAAACAGATTTGTTGGGTGTCGTCAGCATAGCTGTGGTAGGAGAGTCACGCGAGTCAAAACAGTTGGTGTACACAGAGAAGAGGAGAGGAGCCAGGACACGAGTCCCTTTTGGGGGACTCCAGTGGTTACCCAGTAAGAGCGGTCGTCGAGGAAGGACGAGAGAAGGGAGAGAGCAGTGCCTGAGACACCGAGCGCCTGAAAGGTCCAGAAGGACGAGGACAGAAGAGACAGAGGCTGCTCTAGCAGTGTGAAGCGGCTCAGAGAGAGCAAGGAGAGCAAGGAAGTTTCCCATCAGCCTCGGCGGTGTGTCTCACCACCCCGAAGCTGTAGACGTCCACAGCTGTCCCGAGCTCCCCGTTCCTCACGTACTCTACGGGAAGGTAGGCCAGCGTCCCTCTGACCGTCGCCGTTTTACCCACTGATGCCGTCTGGCCCGCCGAGCGACCTGCGGGCCGGCGATGCGCCAACCGGGCCAGACCAAAATCGGCCAACTTGGCCACTAGGTGGCGGTCCAGCAGGATGTTTGAGCTGAGGAGACAGCAGAAGAAGAGAGGAGGAGGAGCTGAGCACAGAGTTCAGAGAGGAGGCAGGTGATGTTGTGTAGGCGTCACCGTCTTGATGTCACGCCGTATCATTGTCTGCTCACCTCTTTACGTCGCCGTGGATCAGCGCCGCGTGGCCGTCGGGGGGGAAGTGAAGGAACTGCAGCGCCGCAGAGGCTCCTTTAACAACGCCCACCCTCTGAGACCAGGTCAGAGACACACACTCCTGAGGGCACACACATTGTTTATGTTATGGTGTGTGTGAGTCTGTGTGTGTGTGTGTGTGTGTGTGTGTATACGCGTTACTTTGTGTAGCTGGTCCTCCAGGGATCTCAGCTCCATGTAGCTGTAGATCAAACAAACTGTTTCTGGTCCTTCACTGAAACCCAAAAGATCCACGATGTGAGGATGTCTGAACCTAGAACACACACAATATGTGTATTAGTGCCGGCCAACCATTATAATTTGTAATCCTCATGGTTTTCTGTGATCACATTGTTGTATATATATTGCACATACATATATAAATACACACACATTTATACAGTATGTATGTATACATGCACATATACACACACACACACACACACACATGTATGTATGTATATAAACACACACACACACACATCAGAAGCCATTTACTGCCACATTTGTTACACATAGAGGAATTTGACTTGGTGAATTGGTGCAATATAAGAATAAGATATAATAAAATAAGATAAAGAGAAATAATGGAAAGCAAGAATCAAGAAGCAAGCCAGAATTAACAATATAATATAAACAGATAAGTACGTTAAAACACGCGTCCTGCAGCAGAGACGGAATGATGGTGGATCCTGCTGGAGGATGAAGGGCCATGCTGCGCCGTCTACAGACCAGTTGGCTCTTTAGGGGAACTGCAGGGGTCCAATAAAAGGTCGCTAAGGGTTTTGAGGTGGGACAGGACAAGGCGCTCTAAGGACTTCATGACTACAGAGGTCAGGGCGACGGGCCTGTAGTCATGAAGTCGTCTTGGAGGTGGAACATGTTGAACTAGCGACTCTTCCTGTTGTCCTTGTGCACTTTGCTCTCAACTCTCCATCATTTGACGTGTTTAAAGTGCCAACATGTCCCACATTTAGCCAGGACAATTTCAAACCACTGTCTTTTAGGGACACAGTGGTGGTCCTCTGCAGGGTAGATGTTGAGGTAGAAGTAGCCTAGCAGCTAGCTTAGCCTAGCGGTGCTTTGAGTGGTCGGTTTGCCACGTAGCGTAATTCCTCTGCACAGATCTCTGCTGTATGTCGCGCCTCTGTTTGTTTAAACGTAACGGTGTCCTGACCTGGACAGAGAACTAGTATTGCCCTGACCTGGACAGAGAACTAGTACTGCCCTGACCTGGACAGAGAACTAGTATTGCCCTGACCTGGACAGAGAACTAGTACTGCCCTGACCTGGACAGAGAACTAGTACTGCCCTGACCTGGACAGAGAACTAGTACTGCCCTGACCTGGACACATGGGGTTTCACGCTGTTTCCGGTATTTTTTTTCTTCCATCGCCTTAAAAATGTTAAAGGACCCATCGTGTGCCCATTGTACCACAGGTTTACATGGTTCCTCGGGGTATTAATGAAATGTCTGTAACATACTTTGGTCAAAATACCACAAGGATCATTTAAAACAGAACCCTTTTTACCCCGCCTGAAACCGCGCTCCACCGAGGCAGGTTAGGACACCCTGACGTTACTTTTAATGCAAAAAGCCCTCTCCGTCTTCCACTACCGTCTCGTACGATTTGGTTTCAGGGTAATAGAAACTACTGCGGTACTAGAAAGGTACCGCGGTACCCTTTACTTTGAAAACAATATGATTTGGACTATTTTAAGTACCGGTACTTTGCTCACTGTTTGCTCCCTGTCAGGCTGCCTGCACGCATTGACAGGCAGCCGTCACTCAGAGCGAGTTATCAGGGAGACGTGACCTCATGCAGCAGACTGTGATGGAAAGCCATCGACACACAGACCCGTCTGTAAAACCTGCTTCAAATCCACCATAAATATATATATATATATATATATATATATGTCTAAATATAAAAAACACAAACACGTATATATGTACTCACTTTGACAGCTGGTCCACTTCATTCTGAAAACTCTCCCTCAGCTGAATCCAGTCCAGCAGACAGTCCTGTAACAACAACAACAGCTCAGACCAATCACAGTCCACTTTCTCTAGTGACACGTGTAGAAACACTCAGGTATTAGAGGTGTGCCGGTGTGACACTCCTCTGTGGGTGCAGCCAATAGAAACACGGATCTGTTCCATCGGTATTGATTGGCGACATCAGAACAGTAAGATCATGTGACTCTGATCTGAGCTGTGATTAGCTGACCTGTTTCAGTCTCTTGACGGCACAGTCGGTGTTCCTCAGGGACGCTCTGTACACCACTCCAAACCCCCCCTCCCCCACCTGCAGGGAGGGGGAGAAGCCCCCCGTCCCAGCATGCACCTCTTCATAAGACCAGCACATCACCCCACTGCTGCTCGACACCAACTGGGGGGGCTGCGTGGCAACAGCATCGTCATCATAGTTATATTACAACATCACTGTGTGTGTGTGTGTGTGTTTAGGTGTGTTACCTGGGCAGTTTGAGGGACGTCAGAGTGCAGAATGGGGGGGGGAGGGGGCGGTCTGGGGAGGGGTCTTCCTCCTTCTTCATTGGCTGGACAAGGAGAAGGACATGTTGACTATCAATTCACAGGAACCTGAACCACTGCTGATCGGGAGCTTTGGAACCCTTTCAAAATAAAAGAATATGGCTCGAAGCTGAGACCAGATGATTGGAATTTTGGGCTAATGATATCGTCTCCATTTGGACAACAGTGAGGTTGTTACGGTTACACAACGAGTATGCAACGTCACCCGTGTGTGTGTGTAGGTAGGAGTAGTTTGCAGTTGTATGTGTCACCTGTGTGTAGGTATGTGCATTACCTGCGTGCAGGTGTGTGTAGATGTGCTTGTTTGTTACGTCTGTGTGTGTTACCTGTGTAGCCCACTCTTACAGTGCTCAGTGTGGGCGTGGCCTCAGACTGTTTATGAGAAGGAAGAGGTGGGACGGGGGAAGGCTTCAGACTCGAGGCCCCTGCAGAGACAGAAGTCAGCTGTAGTGATTGACCTCTTACCACATCAGAGGTCGTCAAAGGTCGTCAGAGAACTCACAGCGCAGGATGACATCACGGGGGCGGAGCATCTCCAGCCGCTCCAACAGCTCGAGCAGCTCCCCGACGCTCCCGTTTCTGTTACACCATTGGTTCATCACCCAGTCGGTCCGCCTCTCCCTCTTCTCGGCCAATCGTACAGCAGTCTGATCCCCAAGGACCTCTGACGCTTCAAATACAAACAATCAATCAATCAATATATACAGACTCAAAAGTACAGGTTAGCAATTAATCGAAAGAACTATAAACACATTGTCAGTGTACTTTTACATCAGTATCAGGGCAATACTTGACCTCAGTCACTCAGTCACTCGTTTACTGAGGAGTAAACATCTCCAGAGTTGAAGCTCATTGGAATACTCGTGTACTTTTACCTCAGTATGGAGAAGTAATACTCGTGTACTTTGACCTCAGTATGAGAGTAATACTTTGACCTCAGCATGAGCGTAATACTTGTGTACTTTGATCTCAGTATGAGAGTAATACTTTGACCTCAGTATGAGAGTAATACTCGTGTACATTGACCTCAGTATGAGAGTAATACTCGTGTACTTGGACCTCAGTATGGAGAAGTAATACTCGTGTACTTTGACCTCAGTATGAGTAATACTTTGACCTCAGCATGAGAGTAATACTCGTGTACTTTGACCTCAGTATGAGTAATACTTTGACCTCAGCATGAGAGTAATACTCGTGTACTTTGACCTCAGTATGAGAGTAATACCTTGACCTCAGCATGAGAGTAATACTTGTGTACTTTGATCTCAGTATGAGAGTAATACTTTGACCTTAGCATGAGAGTAATACTCGTGTACTTTGACCTCAGTATGAGAGTAATACCTTGACCTCAGCATGAGAGTAATACTTGTGTACTTTGATCTCAGTATGAGAGTAATACTTGTGTACTTGGACCTCAGTATGAGAGTAATACTCGTGTACTTGGACCTCAGTATGAGAGTAATACTCGTGTACTTGGACCTCAGTATGAGAGTAATACTCGTGTACTTGGACCTCAGTATAAGAGTAATACTCGTGTACTTGGACCTCAGTATGAGAGTAATACTCGTGTACTTGGACCTCAGTATGAGAGTAATACTCGTGTACTTGGACCTCAGTATGAGAGTAATACTCGTGTACTTGGACCTCAGTATGAGAGTAATACTCGTGTACTTGGACCTCAGTATGAGAGTAATACTTGTGTACTTGGACCTCAGTATGAGAGTAATACTCGTGTACTTGGACCTCAGTATGAGAGTAATACTCGTGTACTTGGACCTCAGTATGAGAGTAATACTCGTGTACTTGGACCTCAGTATAAGAGTAATACTCGTGTACTTGGACCTCAGTATGAGAGTAATACTCGTGTACTTGGACCTCAGTATGAGAGTAATACTCGTGTACTTGGACCTCAGTATGAGAGTAATACTTGTGTACTTGGACCTCAGTATGAGAGTAATACTCGTGTACGTTACTCAGGCTGTCACGAAGCTTTAACTCAAACCTTGTTAGCCGTTAGCAGCTAGCAGACCGGTTCTGGTTCGAACTCACCGAAGCGAGTCCAGTCCAGGTCCGACAGTCCGTCCATGACCAGGCAGAACTCCCACAGGACCGGAGGAGGCAGCTTGTAGAGAAACGTTGATCTCTGGTCCCCTGCCGACATGTTATATTGTCAAATAAACGTCACCTGAAGCAAACAAGCTAACCGCTAACACCGTCGCACCGGGACCCGGATTAGTCCATCGTTTCAGAACCGCCCGGAAACAACAAGTCAATAAGTGTAACAGCTCCGATCAACAAGTCGAGCTCCGGTGGCGCTTCCTCGTGCTGCGGTTCAAGCGCGCTGCATAAGATCCGCTTCCGGGGTGTAGCCTTCAAAATAAGAGACGTACAGCCTGATTTTCCTGGTCTTCTGTTGAGAACATCGAACAGATCAAATATTTCTGGTTTTATACAATACAAACCATGTATGTATCATTGTCGGGATGGGTGAGATGTATTCTTTATTTGATATAAATCAGTGGCATATGGATATATTTAGAGATGCCTTTATCATCGTCATGGTCGTCACGTCACCACCTCACGCCGCTACCGTCCCCCCCCCCCCCACCCCCACACACACCTCCCTCACCCCTCCTCCCTCCGTCTCCTCTCCATCTCGACAGGACGCAGGATGGACCTCGTCAATAAGGTACAAACATGTCCCTCACATCTTCCTCCTCTTCTTCTCTTCTTCTCCTTCTCCTTCTGGGGAGTGCAGCGCTGCTCGGGGTGTGTTTGTGTTGTTTGTCAGGGCGGCCCGCCGGGAGGGTGGGGGCTTCGTTTTAGCGTATCTGTGTTGGGCCGCCGAGAGATCTATAATATTTATAACAATTATATCGATAATAACCGGAACATCAGAGGGATCAATACATCAGCAACACCTGTTACACGAGTGCCGTCATTATTACTGCTATCATTGGTAAGCATGTCGTCATCGGACTGATCATCAATACAGAAGGTTTATCGATCAGGCGCCCTGAGCGCTGCTTGACACAAGAGCAGAATCAATAACAAACATCTCTGCGGCTCCGACACGCTCCTGCAGTGTGTGCGTGTGCGTGCGTGCGTGCGTGCGTGTGTAAAATGGCACCACTCGGATGCTGCAGCTGAATATGACGAAGATGATGAAGATTAAGAAGATGATGATGATGATGTTGCTGTTGTTGCGGGTCAAACCGCATTTCTATTTAATAATCCTCATTGTTCAGTCTGACCTATTTACCCGGTAATAACCCGGTAATAACCCGGTAATAAACCGGTAATAACCCCTCAGCCATCTGTATCAAGATGCTCAAATACCATAAATATAACACAAATGTAAATATACCACAATACATTCATTCTGAAAGACTAATGTCGCTACCATGTATTCCTACTGTACTGGATTATTATTATGAAATACTAACCAAACCAAAATAACTTGACTGTACTGTTTTAAACATTACTACCAGGGATCACACCGCTGTCACGCCCAAACTCCTTCACCAATTTATGTTATAATTAAATGTGATAATCCCTCAATGATATTCATAATAAAACAATGTATATTCTGAAATATTAACTAGTAAGTTTTATTGGGCTGGTCATTGTACGTTCTAATAATAAATCATGAGTTTGTGTAAGAAACAGAAACAATAACTAAAGATCACTCAACTGTGATTAGAACAGCCTGAAATGTGATCAGTGCTTCTACAGCCATGAACATCTAATCATCAGCTTCTGAAGTTTCTCAAGAATGTAAATAAGCAGCTTCAGGTTCCTAAAACAAACACAGAGGAGACACGTCCGTGCGTGAGGAGGTCCCCCACCCCTCAGACCCCCCGAGGACAATGTAACAATGGTCACTGGTATCTTTATTATTTTATTGTGTCTTCATTAAAACTACAATGTAATTTGTCCTGAAATGTTTAAATCCTGATCAACCTTGTAATACACTTTGCAAACCGAAACCATCCGCTCTCTCTTCCCGCCTGCAGCTCGTGGCTCAGGGTCAGTTCAGGGTCCTGAAGGTTCCTCTTGGCTTCATCAAGGCCTTACAATGGGTGAGTTCCTCATACAAACGCCTCAGAGAACCCTGGGTTATGAAACACTGAGCCAATCGTTGTTTGGTTGGTTTTACTCAACTCAGTCTTCTTTAAACATATGAGACACAAAAAGGGAAGCTCTTCTCTGGCAGCAGCTAACATCACACCCACAGGAATCCAAACATCTCACAACCTATGCAGATGAAACGTTGCTGTACAACAACAACCATCAATTCTGGAGGACCCTCACAACCACCATCAGCTCTGGAGAAACCCCCAACCATCATCAGCTCTGGAGGAACCAAACAACCACCATCTGCTCTGAATGTGCCAAACAACAACCATCATCCGCTCTGGAGGAATCTGACAACAACCAACATCAGCTCTGGAGGAACCTCACAACAACCATCAGCTCTGGAGGAACCTCACAACCACCATCATAAGCTCCGGAGGAACCTCACAACAACCATCATAAGCTCTGGAGGAACCTCACAACAACCATAATAAGCTCTGGAGGAATCTGACAACAACCAACATCAGCTCTGGAGGAACCTCACAACAACCATCAGCTCTGGAGGAACCTCACAACAACCATCAGCTCTGGAGGAACCTCACAACAACCATCAGCTCTGGAGGAACCTCACAACCACCATCAGCTCTGGAGGAACCTCACAACAACCATCATAAGCTCTGGAGGAACCTCACAACAACCATCATAAGCTCTGGAGGAACCTCACAACAACCATCAACTAAAATAATAATACATTGCATTTATAATAATCTTCATCAACAGATCTCAGAGTGCGACAGAGTGAGCCAAACCGAGGTAAAACATAGGTAAAATAAAGTAAAAGCCTTCCCGAATAAGAAGATTTGTAGGCCAGTTTTAAAAGTGTTCAGTGACCGTGCTGCCCTCAGGTAGTCAACTGTTTGTGGCGCTGCATAGCAGAAGGTGCGGAGCTTGGTGTTGGGGACCGGGAGAAGCGAGCTGCTTGCGGATCTGAGGGTGTGGGTGGAGGTTTGGGGTCAGTAGTTCTTGCAGATAGGGAAGTGCAAGGTGTCAAAGTGGGGCGGTTTGGAGATATTTTTGACATGATGGAAGGAGATTTGCACAGGTATTTGATATAGTCAAATATGGGTCGAACCTAACTCCCAGATTGGTAACTGGAGGAGAGGGGTATGATCTGACTGTCAAAGGTGAGATAGATAATGGAGGATGACTGAACCTGGTGTGGAGTGCCAACCAGAAGGGCTTCAGTTTTGCAAATGTTTAGCTGGAGAAAGTTGTTGCTCATCCATGACTTTGTTACATTACAGGTCACTTAGCTGACGCTTTTATCCAAAGCGACTTACATTACATTTATAACCTATGGCTATTTACATTTTAGCCCGGGGAGCAATTAGGGGTTAGATGTCTTGCTCAGGGACACTTCGACTTGGGACATGGGGCAGCCGGGGCTCAAACCACCAACCTTGCGGTTTCTCTACCCCTGCGCCATGACGACCTTTATCTCCCTAAGATAGATAGATAGATAGGTACTTTATTGATCCCCTAGGGGAAATTCAAGATCCAGGTAGCTAAGGTAAGGTAACACTAGCGGTGCGACATGACATGGCTGCAAAGGGGCTTGGGGCAGTCTTGATGTAGAGCTGTGTGTCGTCAGCATAACAATGAAAGGACATTCCTTGTTTGCTGATGACACGGCCGAGGGGGAGCATGTAGGTGATAAAGAGGATGGGGCCAAGAACCGACCCTTGCGGAACACCACGGGAGACCGGGAGCAGTCTGGACTTGCATCTTTCCAGTGAAACGTATTCACTTCTGCCAGAAAGGTAGGATTGAAACCTACTTGAGTGCATAGTCTGATAGTCCAATGGTGGTGCGGAGGCACACCAGCAAGATCCACTGTATCGAATGCAGCAGTCAGGTCCAGGAGGATGAGAAGTGAGGGTGATGCAGCATCAGCAGGTCATTCGTCATCCTGAGCAAAGCTGTTTCTGTGCTGTCAGCTGAATGGAATCCTAACAGAAATGTTTCAAACAAGTTGTTGTGCTTGAGGTGGTCCTGAAGTTGAGAAGCATCTGGGCTTCTTGAGGAGAGGACACATGACAGCAAACTTAAGAGCAGGTGGGACACAGCTGGAATGAAGGGAAAGGTTAACAGCTCTGCTGATGAAAGGACTGAGTGTGTACAGTAGATGTGACTTGATCAGAGCAGTGGGAATGGGAGCCAGGGTGCAGGTACAGCATGTCATTTTTCTAAGGATTTCCTCAACATCCTCCTGAACCTCAGCGAGGTGTAGAGGAGACAGCACACTGGCAGAGAAGGTGTTGGTGTCAGAGGGAAGAAGAGGTGAAGAGCTGGACATGAGAGAGGGAATGTTGTTGACCTTGGATCTGAAAAAGTCAACGAACCTGTTTCATTGCTCCAGGTTCTCTGGCAGAACCTCACAACAACCATCAACTCTGGAGGAACCCCCAACCACCATCATCTCTGATGAAACCTAAATGCAACCACTGCTCTGGATTAATCCAACAAGCATTCTCAGTTCTGGAGGAACCAAATAATAACCATCTGCTCCCGATGGACCTCGTAACCACTATCAGCTCTGGGTAACCTCACAACCATCATTAGTTCTGGTGGAACAACATCCACCATCAGCTCTGGAAGAACTTCACAACCGCTATCAGCTCTGGAGGAATATTTTAGAATAATATTTAGTGTCTTTCTACAGTTCTTCGCCATCTTCGCCTTCTCCACATGTGGAAGCTATTCTGGGATGTTCCGAATGGCGGTGGAGTGTAAGAACCGGACGGAGAGCGACTTGAGTATCGAGGTGGAGTTTGAGTATCCTTTCAGGTCGGTGGAGTACTCATCAATCTAATGTAATATTACATTCATGCTATTGCCAAGATAAGCATCTCGGAACCCTCTTCTACCGCTATTATTATGATTGATTATTATTGGTATGACTGTTTTGGTGACAAACCATAATAATGAGATGGTTCACGTTAAACTCCTCCCACTCCTCCAGACTCCACCAGGTGTACTTTGACGCCCCCACCTGTCGGGGGGATTACAAAGAGCGTCTCTTCCTGGTCGGCGACTACTCCTCCTCGGCCGAGTTCTTTGTCACCATCGGCGTGTTTGGCTTCCTCTACTCCACCGCTGCCCTCAGCATCTACGTCTTCTTCTACGAGAAGTACAAGGAGAACAACAAGGGCCCACTGATTGTGAGTCCTGGGACCTCTGACTTCCCTCACTGTGTGTGTGTGTGTCCTGCAGGACCTGGGGGTCCCCTGTGTCCCCTGACCTCTGTCCTCTGTGCCTTTTAGGACCTGGGGGTCACTGCCGTCTTCTCTTTCATGTGGCTCGTGAGCTCGGCAGCGTGGGCCAAAGGTCTCTCTGACGTGAAGACCGCCACCGACCCAGACGAAGTGATCACGCTCATCTCGGCCTGCGAGGTCGAGGGGAACAGCTGCCGCGAGGTCCACGATCCGGTGATGTCCGGACTCAACACCTCGGTGGTGAGACCGGGAGGTCTGAGGGGGTTTTACTGAGCTAGGCGCTCCAAAGGACTTAAAGAACCCAACATGTAAAAAACATCTGAACTTATATCATGTATGAAGATGAGAAAATCTGAGATGTTAATAATTACTTCAGACTTTAGTTTCACGGCTCAACATTTGATCTATTTTTCTATTTAATTATAACACACCTATTGATGATATATTTTTATATATTGATGTATGTATTTATTTTATAAAATATTTACAGGTGATATATTAAGGTATGGTATGTTTGTATATAACATGATTATAGAGCACATATTGAGGTATAGTTTATTTATAGAAAACATAATTATAGATCAGATAATGAGGTATATTGTATTTATAGCAAACATAATTAAGAATAAGGATATTTGAGATGTATATATGTATTTATTTAAATGTATTTATGAGCATGATTATAGATCATTTATTAAGATATAGAACATAAAATACGTATAGATGATTTACTCATGTAAAGTATATTTATATATACCATCATTATTAAAAATCATAAATTGATGTATAGTATACTGATATTGATCTCTCTCTCCAGGCCTTCGGCTTCATCAACCTGATCCTGTGGGTGGGGAACCTGTGGTTTGTCTTCAAAGAGACGGGCATCATCGCTCCCTTCATGAGAGCTGCGCCTCCTCAGGAGAAGGCCGCCGCCGCCGCCCCCGAGGCCTATGAACAGGACCCTTACGCCGGCAACCAGGGCGGCTACCAGCCGGAGTACAGCCAGCAGGGATACAACCAGGTAATCACCCTGATGATGTCACACTGGAGTACTGCTTCATGATGTGGCAGCTCCACCCCCTCTAAGGTCTCTTCCGGTAGGTATCTAGTAAAACAAAGTTTAACTAGATACCTCTTGATCTGTTCGTTTTATAATTCTCTGAAGTCAAATGTTTGTTACAAGACCAGACGCCGCGACCATTCGTCACTTGACATTGTCACCTGACCACACGTACTGTTCTTCTACCTTCATGACCTCATGGCCGTTGCTACTGTACCTCTCCTGCAGGAGGCGGAGTTTGGTCAGGGCTACACCCAGCAGGGGGCACCAACCTCCTTCTCCAATCAGATGTGAACAGACAGAGCAGGTGAGTCACACAGGTGAGGCTGGAGTCGCTCCTGATTGGTCAGTTCAGTTCCTGTATTCAGAGTTAGCGAAGTCCAGCGATCAATAAATCTCATCATGACATATAAACATACTGTTTGTTTGACAGCCTCTAAAAAAACAAAGAAGAAGAGAATCAGGAGCAGAACGGGAAACAATTTTAGTTAAATTATCATCTACATTTTTTATTCCTTTTTGCGATATTTGTCATCACAGATTACTGTTATTGACTATTTTTGTTGTTGTTTTCTCTTCATAGGAAATGCCGGAGTGAGCAAACAGTGGGTCGCCTGCAACCTACCCACAATGCAATACTCCTGTCTGCAGAGTGAATAGTGGGGGGGGGGGGGGGGTGTTAGATGTCCTCTATAATACATTAAGGAGTAATTCATACTAAAGAACCTGGGAACAGAATGTATGTTTGTGTTGTATAAATATCACTTTAACAGATATATAAAA